CCTCTACTTCTTTTGTATGTTTGTCACTCTCTTGTGAACTGCTATTTCCGGGGTGCCTTGATAGTCGAAGCAGACCTTGTGCTGTTGAAGCTAGAGAGGTGAGCAGAGTGAGCCTGATTCCTTGTAAAGACTTCTCTGTTGACACCCACCCCTTGGCGCTCATATGACCTTATGCAGTTGCGAGTGCCGTAAAACCCTCTACTAAAAAACCCCAAAAAAAACAATTTCATGCACCAAATTTGAGATGGCGAAGGATGTTACCGTTAAAATGACTATAAGTCAGCAAATATTGATGGATTTGCTTGTCTGAGCATTCAAACCATCCGTAGTCGAACAGAGAATCACAATATAGGGGAAAATAGATAGTAAATGTAGCACAGGACCTTGGGGTTGATGAAACTGGTACCCTCAAAGCACAATGTTAAGTGGTGATCCGCTAAAATGCACAACCAAAACTGCCTCTTATGAGGCGATCCGGAATCAAAGATTTATTACAAGTAACTTTTTTGTCCAACCAATAATTCTATCGTGCAAATACCCTCCTTCAGTGGACTCGCAGTATGTTAGATTCTTATGTCAATGTTTCCCAAGTTGCAGATTGATAAGTATAAATTTCCTTCCTGAAAATAAGAGTTAAAAAAGATAGATTACGCTTACTCACTTATATAGAGAGAGGAATAGAGAATTAGATGGGAGGGGAACAAACAATTTTTATTTGTGGTATTATTCAATGCAATTTCCTCAAATCGGCTTTACATGGTTGGTGGGGTTTGCCATGATTGTGTTATTGGCTTTGAGTGTCAGAAATTTTTATTTTCTTTGAAGCCATCGTAATCTGTTGACAGTTAACTGTTATTCTTGAGTAGTCAAATTTGTTGTACATTTTGTTTTTGTGTACATTATATGACCACAGGGATCACAGAAATAAAGTGAATGTTCTGACACTTTTAAATACTTTATTAAAGAAAGTAAGTCTCACGTACAATTATTTTATTTGTTCTAACAAACCTGTTATCTCTACTCCAACATCAAAATGGAAATTGTTTTCAATTTTGGAATGCAGCAGTGCAAGCTGCAACAAATTGTTATCATGTCTTTTTACTTTTCCATTAAATGGAATCACCTGATGTCTTGTGCAATAAATCCTGTAGTCATTGTCTCCCTCTCCAATGTATATAATTTGCACACACTACACTGCTGCAAGTGGTCGTAATGTTCAGCATTAGTGGAGAAAGGAGTTTCTTAAAAACTTTCACTTTATTGGGAACTTTTGTTTCTTGTTTCTTCACTTTTTAGAATATATTATTATGTCACGGTCAATGATTGAATGATATGTGCTTAGTTTAATTTTTAATACTATCAGACTGCCTCAGTACAATCATGTCACTTTTAGTGTTTGCTTCTCCATCATAGCATCCATGTACTCACGAACTGAAACTTGCAAAAGGTTTAATTAGGATGCAACTGAATTCTCCATTTTCAGGTGTGAAGGTAGCACAGTATGCAGGCAGTAATTTACACAAGAAGATTGTGTCCCAATCGGCATACAGTAAGTGAAAGTGTGAGGGTTTTTTTTGGGTAAATTGAAAATATTGAACACCACTTTCACCACTATTAGGTTATTTAAGTGACGACTATTAGGTTATTTAAATCTACTTCTTTACATCCATAAAATAAAAACTTTTTATGCTCCTTTTTTCCCTTTTTTTCTCTCTTTCTTTTTGTCTCTTTCCTGATTACTTGAGGCTGCTTTTGTTGGAATAGGCTCCATGACCCATGTCTATGGTGTAATAGTTAGGCTCTTAGCTGCTGCATACTGAAGATGTTAGTTCAATTCCCGTGAGGGAAAGTTATTTTACAGTGTCTGTCTGCTGGAATGTTGTATCTCACACAGCCGGGGATGGCCCTGACATGTAGGGTCGAAGCTGCTCTCCTAAATAATTTGAATTGCGTCAGCGGAAGCATAGAATATTATAATCAATCAATCAATCAATAATTCTCCATAAGTTCCCCCTGCAGCTGATGTTTTGAGCACATTCTCCAATAATATTGGTCTTATAGCAGCATAACCACACGCTTTTTCGTTGTGAAAAATGTCTTTTTTCCTTTTATGTTTCAGAAAAGGGCAATGTATCTGATGCGATCAGGCACGGTTTTCTCTCCCTTGATGCGGAAATGCTGAAAGGTAAGACGTTCTTGGTGGGTGGTAGGCGGGTGCTCTAGTGTGGTTTGCTCCTTCTTTCCTATCAAACGACTGTCGTCTTTATGTCTCCTCCTTCTTTTTTGTCTTTGTTGCTCTCTTGTAACTCCTCTAATCTTCGGCACTTCTATGACCTTATTGTGGTGTTGCAAGTGCCATAAAACTCTAACTAAAACTTTAAAAAAGACGTTCTTGTGCCCTAGTTATTGTGAGGAACTTTGTTTGATTCACTCAGCCTGCTTGTTGGTAGACATGTCAGAAAGACTGGAAAACTGTGATGCTGGATGTTAAAACGTTGCTACCCCCACACGAGGCTTGACTGCCTTTGCTCTGAGGAAGCCAGACAGTCTAACGAGAGGAGAATTTTAAAATATTTTTAGATTTGTAGTAGGCAGCTATGCATGGTTTTTGGTATTGTTTTTTTTTTTTGGTTCATTTCTCTTATATACGAGTGGATAGCAAAAATGAAATTTGTCTCTCCCTTTTGTTTTGTCAGAGTTTGTTTCATCAGTCGTGTCTAAAAAAAATGACCGAAAAAAAATACCTTGGGTCCGGGATTGGCCACCTCCGGCTTAATCAGGATTTATGTCAGGCCTAATTAATACCTGTCTACTTATTTATTATACCGTCTGGCCGAATGAACTTTACAGCAACTCTCTTACACATTGTTACATTCATTGCTAAAATACACTCCTTGACGGCATATCAATGTGGGCATCAGTGGTGAAATGACATTCCTGTACGCATTTCTCCATATCACTAATTATGTTTCTCAAAATATTGATTACAATTATTCGCTTACAGAGAGAGGAATAGAGAATTAGCTGGGAGGGGAGCAAACAATTTTTATTTGCTGTATAATTCTTAATTAATAGAAATTACTACTATAACTCTTTCTAACGGCCAAGGCAGATTAAAAACAAGTTTAGCTGTCACCATGTTAATCATTGTATGCACTGCTATTTTCAAATGATTCAAAGTCCTTTCTTTGTCGCCGCGATTTTTGTTGCCAACCGATGTGGCCTAGTTGGCTGAAAAGGATGCCGACCTGTGCCCTAAATAAAATAATAATAATAATAATAGATAGCATTTGTATAGCGCATATCCTCGCTCAACAGCAGGCTCTATGCGCTTTACACTATATTATTACCCCAGCAGACCATAGAACACTCCGAAACATTCTCAGCTTCCGGGAAGCATACAGTAATGCCCTTTACAAAAACATTGTACGTCACAGTGCTTGTGGGGGGCTTTTGTGGTCTGGAGGTTACGGTGTTTGCTTCTCATTCAATAAGTCATGATTTTGAAACCTGACAGCGACACAAAATTTTCTTCTCAAGTTTTCTCCTTTCACCTCTTTTCCTACTGTCTAACCATGTTCTGTCATCTGCTTTCGCCTCCACTTTGCCCCCTCGTCTGGGCTCCTGACTCTTTCTGCAGCCTTTCTACTGCTACTCCTTGGCTTCTTCTTACAGCTGTCTTTCAGCCACACCCCTGATCGTGGGTGGTAGGCGAGTGCTCTGGTGTTGTTTGCTTCTTCTTTCCTATCAAACTTCTATCGTACTTATCTCCCCTTCTTCCTTTGTATGTTTGTTACTCTCTTGAAACACCTCTAATCTTCTGGCGCTCATATACCTTCTGCTGTTGCAAGTGCCGTAAAACCTCTACTAAGCTAAACTAAACACCCCTGATCTTACGTAGGAAAGATCTAACACCTAGCCTTCTATGATAAAGGTGAAAAGTCTCTCAGTTGTCCTGTGTGCAAGTTGCGCACATTAAAGATCCCTTGATGATCCAAAATAGATAAGAGTAGGCTTCGACCGCCACCCGGGCAAAATTCAAAATGAATTCCTACCAAACTGAAAATGTTTAATGTGTCCCGCGTGCTCATATGGCCTTCTGCAGTTGTGAGCGCCATAAAACACTTACCAAAACAAACAAACAGTGCTTGTGTTACTGTTTCAAGAGGGTTCTGATTGTGAAGACACTGATTATTGTGTTAAAAGTTGGGTCTGATGTTGACGTATGTGAGGACTTTCATTGTGAAAAGTGATGTAAATACAGCTTTCAAGATGGGTGGGTGAATGATGAGTGGTGGATGTTGATGCGACGGTTGGGCACCTGCTGTCTGATGTGTAATGAAGCTCTTGTGGTATTCGAAACAGATGTGCTATTTAATTTTGGGAACTGATTTCAAAAGATTATTCTTTTGCTTTTAGTAATATGTACTTATGAGATGTCAACTGAATTATGTCAGTTTGAAATAAAGTGTAAAATATTGACTTTGGAAGTGAATGTTATGAACTTCGTTTGTAAAAAAATGTTTCTTTTCATTCAGATGATGCTATGAAGGATGAGTTGGCGGGTACAACTGCTGTGGTGGTCCTTGTAAAAAATGGCAAGATCTTTTGTGTGAGTATTGGTATTTATATAATTTCTCAGTCGTACTCTTTTGCCTCTACCTGTTGAAATTGGTTTGGCTGGTGGGCAGCAATTAATTGTATATCCCTTTTCTAGTCCTTTTTTTTGTGTTATTCATGCGTTTACTGTGTAGTACCATACTTCTGATGTACAGCCAAAGTTGTCTGGGACGGCCACTCATTGTCGGGGAAGAAAAGTGGTTGTCTTAGACAGGTGGACGTCTTACACAGTGTCATTTTAATGTTTAAAAAAACACAGGTGGGGGGGGGGGAATGGATGGCTGTTTGTACAGGTGATTATAATTGCCTTATACAGGTGGTGGTTAGAGCAGGTTCAACTGTACTTCCATGATCGAGCATGTATACACAGACAGGCACACTTAAACACATACATACACACTAACCCACACACACACACACGTGCACGCTCACATGCACGCTCACACACACGCACACACATGCACGCTCACACGCACAGACACACACACACACGTGCTCACTTACACACTCTGTTTTTTCATGCGCACACACTCATATAAACTGTCTCACTATTTTACACATTTCACACACGCAATGCGCTCATATGCAAACACACAATCATGTACACTTCTTATTAGAGCTGGGGTCTGAATACATTGTTGTCCTTTTAGGAGGGATGCTGTGAGGAGCAGCTGGTCAGTTGTATTTTCGGGACCATTTTCATTGTAACACCAATCGTGAACTCGGCCGTAATATTGTATTTTCTGGCTCACTCTCTCTCCCTCTGCCTCTCCCCCCTCTCTCCCCCCCTCTCTCTCTCTCTCTGTCTATTTCTCTTTCCCTCTCCCTCTCCCTTTCCCTCTCTCTCCCCCCTCTCTCTCTCTGTCTATCTCTCTCTCCCTCTGCCTCTCTCTCTCTCTCTCTCTCTCTCTCTCTCTCTCTCTCTCTCTCTCTCTCTCTCTCTCTCTCTCTCTCAATCTCTATCTCTCTTTGTGTCCCAGGAGAGCATATACTTTTTTTTTCATCTTAAATAAGTTCATGTGTAGGAAGGTGTATTCTTTATTGTTGTGGGAATGGTTGTGCCATACTACCTTTTTTATGTCTTATTGTGCGTAAGATGTTTCTTGAGCTGCCTGTCATTGCTTCAAACTTATAGTCACTAGCCCTTTAAGCTTGCTTCAAGGGAAATTCTTGCTTGTGCTGGAAGATGATGGTCAAGGTTATAGAGCTTGTCCTGTTTGTTGTTCTTTGGACTATGTGACCTTGACTTTGTCTTTGTGCCTGCAACGACTCACACTGTGATCCTGGCTTCTCCTAGCTCTAAGACGGCAGGGTGTGAGTATGGTTTGTGTAAAAGCCTTTTCTTTTATAATCAGGAAAGGGCACAAGCTGCCATAATATATCTTGATGTGGGCTGCTATTTTTTAGAACACTTTACCATCGTTTGTTCAGTTTTTCTTAATTTTTTAAAGAATCATAATATCTTTCTTTCTTTCATGGTTTTTTTTTTTTTGGGTCTCTTGTACAACAACAAGTTTTGAGCTTTGGTGCCATTCTGCTCTCATGATAATAGAGTACTCATTGTGTTTGCTTTCTGAAGTAGTATCCTTCACATTTCTCTCTCTGTGTTAGCAAGATGTATGTGCTTTTTAATGTCTCTATAATCATGTGTGCCTTACCGATATTTTTAGATATAGCAGAGACTTGCTCTTGAAAACCTCTTTTTCTTAAAGAAATTGGACGTGGGATAGAAAAGTGTATTTCCCTTGAAATTTGCATCACTATCAAGGGAAGGTGTTTTTTTATTTGAGGACATAATAGTTTTACTATTTATTGTTGGACTTCCTGTCTGTTATGTTTAAGGTTTTGATTTGGTAAGTGAGTGTGTGTATGACCATGTGTCTACGTGTGTGCATGGATAATGTTGAATAAGAGGAGTTTTAGATATCTTCTTAGCTGTAAACCACTGCCTCCTTTTTGTATTATAGAATTTAATTTTTGGACACACTGTTAGTTCGAGAGAAAAAAGGGACTCTTTGTATCTGATGAATCCACTATTGACGTGACATTTTAAAATTTGGTTCTTCATTAAGATGTTGGCATGCGGATGATTCGAAAGCACCACTGGCTGTTTCTGTTTCATTTTTGCTATCCCTTTCTTGTTTCTGTCACGACGATTATCATATATACACCTCTCTTTTCTCAAACAGACAAATAACTGTTGGCATGAATGTGCATACTATGTGACCCCCTGACCTGGGTGTGGAGACCCTGACCTAAAATAGCCATGGTCATGAGTCTGCTATTTACCCAGCTTGTTTGAGAATTTGTTAGGTCATAATGATTAGAAGGGATGCAGAACATTTAAAAAAATACTTTCTGAGGCAAACACATCTTCTAAGTTTGTTTGTTGTTTTTTTGCTTTGAAACAATGTCAAGAAAGGGATTTCCTATCAGACATCTATCGCCCTTATCTCCCCTCCTTCTTTTTTGTGTTTATTACTCTCTTGTAACACCTCTAATCTTCGGCACTTATATGACCTTATTGTGTTGCAAGTGCCATAAAACTCTTACTAAAACTTCTAAAACAAGAAAGGGGTGAATTTGAACTGGGTTTTTTCAGGCTCTTAGGGAAGAATTTTTTTTTTTCTTCTAGCACGTCATTGTAGCATCTTTTTCTTTCAGGGCAATGTGGGTGACTCGCGTGCTGTAGCCAGTGTACACGGTGAGGTGGAGCAGCTGTCTTTTGACCACAAGCCCAGTAATGAGAATGAAACGCGAAGGATCATTGCGGCTGGTGGCTGGGTGGAGTTCAACAGAGTCAATGGTTTGTTGTTGTGCCCTCATTTGAACTCAGAAGATACCCCATTGATGTATGTCTATGGCCAACCTAGGCTTGATTTTGAGACAACAAATATGTTCTGCTCAGACTTATTGCAAAATCACTAAAAGCTTTTATCTTTCCCCTTATATTGATATTCTTTTGTAAAAGCATGATAAAATCTAAATTTTATTTATATCGACATGTGCTTTTACCGTTCCTGTAAAGCTTTGTTTAATTTCCCGTAGGGACAATAAAGTGTTATTTTATTTTATCTAATCTTATGAATGAAGTCCCGCGGTTATTCTGTGAAGTTTTTTTGCGAATGAAGATCAGTTTGCATTTGCATGAGAGGATTGGAAAAGACGAGTGGTCGTGAAAGAGAATCTATTAAAAGCCTTTGGGGCGGATGAGTAGCATTGTGATGATGTGAATTGAAGGACATTGGTTTCTCCGGTTTTGATGCGATCACACATTTTTTGCTATCTTTCAAACCCTTGCTGGGAGACTTGTATCTCAAAACTGCTTATGACGCTGGGAGACTTGTATCTCAAAACTGCTTATGACGCTGGGAGACTTGTATCTCAAAACTGCTTATGACGCTGGGAGACTTGTATCTCAAAACTGCTTATGACAAAATTGTTTGCCTTTAAATCCCAATATGTGTGTATTAATTGTATATTTTTGCTCAAAGTTGTCATAAGGATCAAAGCAGAACTGAGATAAAATTGTTTCTGCCTTTGCCACTCTGCCTTTGATTAAGTGTGATTACACCTTTGAGAGAGGATTAGTTAAATATTCAGTTCATAGAATGAGTTGCTTTTGATCAAGAATCATCTTTAGTCTTAATTTTTTTTAAAAATCAGAGTGTTCGTTTATTTGTTCTCACTACATGCCATAAACGTGTGTAATAGAAAGTCTTTAATTAGTTTTTTGATGTTGTGAAGCCTCTCGTTTGTTAGTTTACTTACTTGACCATGTGTTTGAGTAGCAGGTATGATTTTGTCTTGATTTGATATGATATTTTTGCTGCAATGTCCTGACTGACTGGTTGATTCTTTCTCAGGAAATCTTGCTTTGTCTCGAGCGCTTGGTGATTTTGTTTTCAAAAAGAATGACAAAAAGCGACCAGAGGAGCAAATAGTCACAGGTTTGAGTGGACTTATCTTTCTGTTATTTTCCTCTCATTTTTCTGGTCATGTGTCTATGCTTTTGCTTTTAAACAGTATCATCAGTGTATATCAGATGTATTGTCTAGTTTGAGAAGGAAAAGAAGAAAATCTAGAGATTAACCTCATTTGTTAAAACTGTGTGAAGACAAAGTGTTCTTAATCTTACTTTGATATATGAATGTGCAAACCTGGTCAGACCTCAGTTTCTGGTTTAACTCACTCAATCTCGTGACCGAGATATCTCATTCAGCCCGCGGGCTGCGTTCAATCCCCCGGCCGAGATAACTTGGTTCTATAGTTTTGTTCGGTATACTAGTTATTTCATTTCTGAAAACACCTCTAGTTTTATATAAGGTCAATTTATTATTTCTCCAGTTAATTCTGACATGAGGGGTCCTGGAATTTTGTTTCTACTGTCATTACCCACGCAGAAATTGCGGTTTTAAAAAGGCGTTTTTAGCACCTTTGTTCATGCTGATCAGCTGAGCATGTCTCGTAATCGAAAAAAAATTATAGGCCCCCAGAAATGCCAAATATGTCCAACACCCCAAAGCAAAACTACTAAAGCTACATACTTCCAATTTTGGTATGTCTAAAAAACCGTCTTAGGTTGTGCTTTGTACCAAATTTCAAAGTTACTGTGGGCCCTTACAGAAGTTCCAAAATGGCCGGTTTCTGGGATCAATTTCGGGAAACACTCCCGGGTTTGAGTGAGTTAAGCTGATGTTATGATTTTGTCTTGTTTTGGGATTCATATTGTGAAGAGGAACCATACAGTAATTTCCAGTGTTTTTTTAGTTTAATAATTGCCAACTTTAAGAAGCGATATATTTTGCATTGAATTGATGAAAGCTTGGAAACTATAAGCTCGAAGCAAATGTTACTAATTTATGGTTTTGTCCTTATCTGTTATGTAGAGTATTTTTAGATGTTCTTTTGTAAACTAAAAGCTGCTAAATTCGAAAGGATACATCTTCTGATTTGTTTTTCATTGTATGCAAATCTGTAATGTCAATTACCTTCAGCCTAATATTTCAATACAAACTCTTTTGAGATCAGTGTATACTTTGATCAGATGGCTCTCTAAAGAACTCATAATCACATTATGTTATCATCACCAAAGTGCAGCAGTTGTTTTGCTTAATTATTGAACTTGGTTATATATTTGAATCACCTTTCAGCAAACCCAGATGTTATAGAGAAGCCCGTCACACCGGAGCATGAGTTCCTGCTGTTGGCCTGCGACGGCATTTGGGATGTGCTCACTAACCAGGAAGTTGTCGACTTTGTTCGGAACCGCATTGCTCAGCGCATGGAACCTGACACAGTGAGTGAGCCAGTGACAGGTTGTAGGTTTCAAATTAGGCGACTTGGGGGGGGGGGGGGGGGGTTCTTTTAATATGGGATATAACTTTGGAATTGAAGCATTCAGTCAGTTGACATAAACTGTAGTTACACCACTTCCCCCTCCCCTTTCTCCACACACACACACACACACACACACACACACACACACACACACACACACACACACACACACACACTCACTCACTCACTCACTCACTCACTCACATATTCAGTCTCAGCCCAGGTTGGCCCTGACAGACAAGGTTGAAAGCCCACCCCCTAAATGATCTAAATTGTGTCGGGGTGGGGGGGTGGGATTTTAATTTGAAAAATTTCAATAAGGGGGGAAAGCAAATTTTTTACACAATGTTCAAATCAATGGCCTTTTATCAATCTATGGGGTTGTTTTTTTTACTTCTTCTTGCATTTGTGGGTGGTTGGTTGGTGCTCTAGTGTGGTTTGCTCCTTCTTTCCGAAAAAAAGATCTATCTTCTTTATCTTCCCTCCTTCTATTTTGTGTTTGTTACTCTCTAGTTACACCTCAAATCTTCGGCACTTATATGACCGTATTGTGTTGCAAGTGCCGTAAAACTTTTACTAAAGCTAAAAACTTCTTGCATTTGCAGATCTGTGAAGAGCTGATGACTCGATGCCTGGCTCCAGACTGTCAGGCCGGGGGCCTGGGCTGCGACAACATGACGGTGGTGCTGGTCTGTTTCCTCCACGGGGGCAGCTACGAGGACCTGGTGCGCAAATGCTCCCGACCCAGCCGCGCCGGCCCCGCCCCGCACTTGAGGGACTTCCACGCTGGCTTTGAGTTCAAGTAGCTGCTGCTGTCGTGCTGGGGGGAAAGGAGGGGTGAGGGGGGGAGAAGGAGTGGGAGGCGGGGAGGATTGTCTATACTACATGCACTGCTTATGTTGTGGGGTGTTATAGGTAGACATTTTGTTGAATGTTTTGTTGGGTTGTTTTTTTTCTCTCTGCCTGAGCTGGTTGTTTGCCAGATTTCCAGTGTGCTCTGCCAGAAATTTGTTCATCGAAAGCTGTGATTCGGAGTAGCTGATTAAAATATATACTGTTGCTCTGTGTGTTGTGGGCAAGTCGTGATGGTTCTGAGGTCCGGAAGCTGTTGCTGTGTGGGGTGTGAGAGTTTGTTTGAATACGTCTCGTCTACTCCTGATGTTCAAAGTAGGGGTAGTACATAAGCACTCTTGTGAAGTTTTGAATTTATGTCTGTGTGCACATGAAGGTTTGTGGGGGGAAGGGGGGTGGGGGAAAGGGAGGGTGGGGAGGAGTTACAGTATGTCTTGTATATTCGGCTGTGTGGTGATCTAAGTGATGGATTTTTTCTGTAAATATGTTTGTTTTTAGATTTGTACTCTTGAGGTCTTGTCGAATGTGTCTATGTTGGTATTTTTTCCCTAATGTATCTCGGTCATCGTGTGGCCCAGCGCGGATTTGATGGTTTCCTCTGACTAATTTCCGGTGTGTCATGGATGTTCGATGTGTGTTTGTGGACAAAAAGTTGTAATTTGAAAGGGGTTGTTCCAATTTAATGATCTGTGTGTTACACATACTGGTAGTAAATATGGCACTAGAGGTGCCAAATGCTTTCTGAAATGTCTCTTTAAAGGCATCTGGTTTCCAGTGTTTGGAATGATGAATAGATGAGCGAACTGTTTACCTTGTATGCATGAGAGTATGTTTCTTGTTTGTGAAACATTTTCCTGTGTCTCCTCTGTCTTGATGCTGTGTTGATAATGTGTACATTCAATCAGTCAGAGTGGGTGGTTGGTGGGTGGTTGTATAGTTTGCTCTTTCTTTCCTATCAAATATCTCTATGGTCCTTATCTCTCCTCCTTCTTTTGTTTGTGTATTACTCTCTAGTAACACCTCTATAATCTTCGGCACTTTTATATGACCTATTTGTGTTGCAAGTGCTGTAAGACTCTGACAAAAACTCGACTAAAACCATCAGTCAAAAACTGGTCATGTGGATACAATTCCTCTTTTAGTCAATGCCCCTTGCTTTCACTGTCACTACATGCAGCTGGTTGTTTGAGAATAATTTTCTCCTTCTACTAGCTTCTAGCTCTTGTACTTGTCAGGTCACTTGCGAGATTTTGTCTCTGTGCATACATGCAGAGGGGAGGGCTTGTGACTGAAATATACTTCTAGTGTGTGCTGAGCTGAGTGTGGGAGGTTGGAGGGGGCTACTGTTAGGTCCTCTTTCAACACACCTCTTTTGTTTCTGTCTGTCTTGCTTTTCCCCAGCATTCAGTGAACGTTGTTCTGTCTATGTGATTTCTTTACTCAATTAAAGACCACTTTGGGGGTCTTTTTAGTGATCGATGAGTGTGTCACAATCTCACAGTTCTTGTTTGTCATCAAATGACTGAGATCAATAAGGCTTCTAAGAGCAACTCCACTAGTGTAGCTATTATCCAGGTGATCCCCAGTGTTTTGAAATAAAAATTTCTATTCTTGTTCAAGTGCAGCCTCTTTTTCTTTACAGAAAGAAGAAATGATTGGTCGGTGGTCACGTGTGTCTGTTCTCTCTATCTCTTATCCATGTTTTTGATTATCCTTATCTATTCCTGGTGAGATATGCGGCCATTATTGTGGCAACATGCTATGTTCTAAGACTCAATATTTCATGCAGGAGGAAGGTAACATTACTATATATGCCTTGTGTACTGTCGCAGTGCACACATGGGCATGTGATGTTTGGATGCAAGTGTGTGCCACTGCTGTGCAGCTGGAAAAGGCCCACATTCTGTTGAGGCTTGTCACTGTGCAAGCTACTTCCATTTTCTGTATTATTGTATTGAACTTGAGGCCTTTTTTTTTTCCTTCACCTGTAAGGCTCTAAGATCTTTTATTTCAAGGCTTTCCACCCCTTTGGCTGTATCCAAATAGAGGTAAACATCAAATTTGGAAGTCTCGGCTCTGGAACACGCATACATTGTTGAAATGGTTTTTTTCAACTCGTACCATACTGCTCCAAAAAAAGACTCGTTTCATGATGCCATTGCCTGTGCAGTTCTTCACATATATTATTGTCTTGAATGACATTTAATCATGTTTCGTTTATATTTAAACCATCTGATAGGTTAATGGGGTTGGGTGTTTTGTTCACTCAAATTTTCTCATCAAAAATATGTGTCAAAGTTATTATTTTTTTAAAGTTCTAGTATGACTAAAGCAAAGGAAGCTATTTTTACCTCTTGCATTTACCAAAAGCTTGTTCTGTTTTTCCAGTGCTTATTTATGGGTACATCATTTGGTACCCAATCTATAAGGTTCCCAAGTGCAACCCTTTTATTCGACTCATCTCTGTTTTTTAGGGTTTTTTCCCTTTCTGGAATGTAGACTTTTTCTTTTACTCGCTTCTGCCTCTTTACTGACCCTTGTGTAAAAACTAAAGTACAAAGTGTTGGCTGAGACACAGATATTTGTAAATAAAAGTCTACCTATACATGAAATATACTGAGGACAACCCAAGTGTTCTTGCAGAATTGCTTATTCTCTGCTGAGTTTTATTTTCTTTCCAGATCCCAAGTGCTTATTTCTTTTCTTTCTCTGTTGCCTTTGTGATTTAATTTTTAACTTTGCTTCTGAATTTTGTTATTCTTTATTCTTTTTTTTTTTTAAATGAACGCTTGTTCAGTTGTTATTCACCTTTCGGAAGGTTCCACTTACAAGTACCATATGTCTGTGTCTTTGTTATTTTGTCCAGTATACTTTACTTTGTGCATTACAAAGTATGAACATTGGTAGTATTGGAGATTGAAAGTCTGTTTGGGGCAACTTGTTGTAATATGATGGAAAGCATTATGTTAGCTTTATAACTTTGTCCTGTCTTCAAAGTTCACGGTTTTGATTTTTGAGAAGATCAAAGCTAGTCAGCTTGTTTCAAAGTTTTTGTAAATTTGTCCCGAACATTTTCAAGTTCGCGTATCGTGATACTACTGCTGCCAAACCTCTACAACCCGAAAATCTCAACCCTCTCTGAGCCATGTGGAATGATTTGAGAGGATCTTACATGTGCTCTGTCAGTGGAGTACAGCTACATGTTTTCTGTTGGTGCGAAGATGCTTTCTTTTTTAATATTCAGTGTATGTAAACTGTTCTGTTTGCCTTGGTTTTTTTCAAAGGTGATATTACTATTACTTTTTCTCTTTGAAAATCGTTTCCAAGGTGCATTACTGAAGTATTCAAATTTGAATCCCAATTATGTCCTGTTAAAAAAAACCCTGTTTGTTAGCTTAGATTGCCGTGTTCTTTTTTTGTATTGATTTGTAGAATTTTAAAAAGTCTTTTTACTGTGTTCTTTTTTATCTCCCTGTCTGCTGCAGTATGTACCAGTACTCAGTTATTTGATTTTGTTGTTGTAGTTCCGTTTTGGTTGCTGAATTCATATTTTTCTAGTTTCACCCATGTATATTATGAAAAATGTTCTTGCTGTTGTTTGAGAAAATACGGTGGATCATTTTTATTCTGTTGTATTATTTTCATATATATCCAGAAATCGAGGAAGTAATGATTTAGAAGTGGGGTGATTTTTTTCTCTCAACTTCTTACACACTCCCAAATTATTGCACCACAATGGTATACAGCTTTCACAGATCTAGGCAGAGTCTTCTAAGCCATGTTGAGTCACAGAGAAGAATCGTATCAATTTGTTGAACAAGTAGGCTCTATGGAGTGGTCTGCTTGCGAGTTGAGTCGGCATATAGGAGAATACGGTCTGGTTTTTTTATCTTGGTGAGTTGGAACAGGCAAGAATTAGACTAGCTACTGATGGGGGTTGGAAATTCAGTGTAAGACTCCGGCTATGCCTTTTTGAAAAGTGACGTATGACGGGGTTTCACACTGAGCAGTCAATATGTATAGTCAAACTCAGATATAAACAGGACAGACGGGACCTGCAGTTTTTCCCTGTTATTAGTGAGTCCTGTTTTAGTCGTTATCAAGGGAAACTACCAGTACCATTGCACCTTCAGCTTACTATATATATATATTCGATTACCTCGGTCCTTTACCAGTGGGCTGTTTTGCTGACTCAGACGGAATTGACCAGTGACCCCAACACAAATTTTGATGCGGAGGGAGGGGGGGGGGGTGAAAGTTTGTGTTTGGGCAAGCGATCATACAAACAGGCGAAATGTCTTGATTGAGACAAATTTTAATAATTTGACGGATCAAATGCAAGTTCATGCGTTGCAAGCCGAGTCTGTGCAAATTGAAACATGTTATAGCCAGGCTCATATTACTTACACTTGTAGAGAAAAAAAACGGGGATTTGATTTATCACTGTTATATCCAAATTCCTGTAATAACAGAGGCTGTTACAAATGGACTGGACTGTACTTTCCTTCTCAGTCTGGAATGAAACGCATTAGACAGACAGGATTGATCCCAACGCTTGATGGACAGATGGTAATTTCAAAAGCTAGGGCAAGGAGTGAACGGTTGGGCACTGGTCGTTCCTCCTCATTGTTTGTATAGTTTGAGCTTTGTGTATATTTACAAGTGCTTAGTGGGAAAACAAAATATGAATTTAGAAAGATAATGTTACAATGTGTAATTGCCAGTTATTTCTGTGCTGAACAGGTCTATCATGATGGTGGTGTGATTGTAAAGTGCCGTATTTATGTTTATTTTGATGTTAATATTTTGTTGATTTCTACTCTACAATACTTAAACAATTTCAAGTTTGTAATAGAATTATTACAGTATTATATTTATCATCCTCTTTGTTTAAGTGGTGTTTTGTTTTGTTTTGTTACTTCTTGTCTGGTAGTGCTGAAGAGAAATATTTGCTTTTCTAGAACTGATGTTTAGTGTTTAACACTAACAG